CGTACTTACTGGTGTGATCCAAGTTAGCTTGAAGAATCTCATTGATTTGAGTGTTCTTTGGAATAGATTCTCAAGCTGCACCACTTTAAGTTTGAATTTGACTCCCCCTTCTCTATTTCGATCTGATGAATTCAACCTTTTTCTGGCATGCTTACTTTTTGGGGAAAAAAAGGGGTTGATGGCATGCAATTCCTATTTAGAGATTAAAAATAACCTTTTCAGCTCACACTGCATCAGGATGTAAAGTGAAGGATCGTGAAAGGCAGAGGTCACCTGTGAGTAGTATGGAGCAAATAACTTAGGAAATGAGAGGGATTTGTTCAAAAATACTTCTATATAGTCTAGGCCAAAAGAATATTTTTCGGTCAATTTACTAACTTCTTATGATACACTTAATTTGTGTAACAGCAAAAAATACTTTCAATTTTTTCTTTTCTACAACATATTACAACTTGTTATCAAGGAAACATTAACTATGAAACCACTTCTTTCCACTGTCCCCTGCTCTTCACCCAGGCACCCTCGTACCTTGCTTAGACTGTTCCTTTAGATGGACTCAAGCATCTGCTTTGGTCCCTGTCTGTGTGCAACACTTCCATCTCCAGCAAGAGTACCTTACCTCTGCTGTCCCTGGAGGAAAAAAGCTCCTTTTTATTTTTTCTTTTTTCCTTTTTCTTTTTCTTTTTTTCTTCTGTCTCTTTCTAGAACAGGATTGTATGCAGTGTACCTCTCTTGCTGGCTCTCTCACATCTCACACCTTTGCCAGGCAACAGTAAAGATAACATCTCATCTTTTTTTTCGCCGTAGAACACTTTTATTCAAAGTGCTTGTTTGTATAACAATGTGCTAACCTGATGAAGATGCCTTCATTTCTTCTTCACAAGTCTTTCTCCATTTATAGGTTAACCATTTTTGTTCAGCCACCCTTGAATCAGTATGGGTGAGCAACAAACTTTCACCAATTTGTGTGTATCACTATTTCAGGAGGGAAAAGGTATGTACAGCAGGAACTGCGATCCTTTTCTGTCTGAGTGTGAATTCAGAGATTCCCGATAGCTGACTTGCCAAGGTTAAGAAAGCTCCGTCAGTCCCAGTTTGGAAATAGAATACTTTCTTCCATGTTATTAAAAGCAATCTCTTAGAAAGAGGTCTTTCAGGTAGGTTGCTAGAGGGATACGCCTCTACATCATTGTAGCTGAATGCAGGTTATAGGTTATGCTTATTTTATAAGTAAAAACTTGTCACAGTTATAAGAACTGACTCGGAATTTGATGTATTCATAACCCGACAATGCTGCTGCCATTACTGTTGCACGATCCGGTGGGCCCTGCAATAAGCTTTGCCCTGTACCTTGCGATTCTGTCGGGGCAGCAGAGGCTGCCCGCAAAGTGGTCTGCGCTGCAAGTCTTTTTCCTGCAGCATGCCTGAGACGACTGTGCCCTGACTGGGAGTAGGGCTGGGCAATAATAACAAATCAAGAGATGTGAGCTAGAAAAATGTGCCTGGGGAGGACCCAGGTCAGAGAATGAAGTAACTCTGGGGTGATCTCTGCTGTATAGAAGTCAAAGAGAGGAAAGACGTGCGGGAGCTTGTGGCTGCAGGGCCCGCGGCATTGCAGTGTTGCATCTCAGTGCTCTGTCAGTGTGCGCCCCTCTCCTTCCAGCTCCCTCCCCTCAGCAACAGCCCTCCGTTTATTGCTCTCAGAGATGTATTCCTGTCTCTCCCAAGTGACCCATTCCCCCAGTTAGAGAACTGCTCATCTAAAGTGTAGTCTGAGGAACAGTTGCGTTTACTTGGGAGGATTGCAGCTTCCTCAGTAGCCTGGTCTTAAGTTTTCCTGCTGCGGAATTGGAACTTCTCGTGGTACTGCACTGGGGACATACAAAGCATGGAGGTCTAAGCAGGAGGAAGTCTACTGCTCCCATGGCTTAGCCTACAGCTCACAGCTAGTGCTCTGGGTAATGTATTCCCCCAGATGAGATGCTGTACCTCTCATCTGTCACTTGACATGGTGGGAAGAAAAGCTGAGACTGTCCAATTTCATTGGACCTGTATTTGCCCTTTGGAAAGGAGATGGTTCCAGTAGGAACAAAGGAAAGGACTGCATCCTATGTAAAATATTTTGGAAAACTGCTTCTGATTTAGAACTGCTGGTGTTTTGGTATTCAGTGAAATGGTTGTTTGGAGATGGGCAACTTAAAAGAAGTGAAGCAATTGTAAAACAATTTTGAATTATTATATACAAGCTTAAGGCAGACTACAGTTTATTGGCATAGGACAATGCTTGTGAAAAGTCAAAATCCTAGAGAAAGTTTGAATACAGAGTACAGTAATGATCCCTTTTGTCTTCGAAGAATTCAGTTTAAATCAGGATTTGACAAATAGACTGCATGTGTCTGTAACAAGATTTGACATCATTAGAGGAGTGCACGCTTCAGCTGTGATGATGAAAATTATGTCATCCATAATCTTGTCAAGAAAACAGTTACTTCAATGATCAGTTTGCAGAGATTTTTGTGGGAGTTAGTCAGTCCAATTACTTTTGTTTTCCATATGGTCAAACTACTAATTGTCCATAGAAAACTCCAAAGTTGACCATAAATCTTTGCCATCAACTCATGTATGTGTGCTAAAAAGTTGACTGGTTGGAAGTCATGGATCTCGAGTGTTGGCGCTTTCCATTTCAACCCAAAAGAGTATTCTCAAAAGAGTAGAATAGTTTCTATATAAAGAAAAAAGGTAATTCAACAACGTAGTGCAGTTTGGAGCTTTATGGTCCATCTTCAGAATACAATGTGTTATAGTTAACTTTGGGCAGATATTTTTCTGTGATTATAAGCAGAATGAGAGCACTATGAGCTGCTTGGTTTTTATTACCATATCATAGCTTGTAAATCATGCTGTATTAGTAAGGGCTGGCATTTCTCATGGGGAAATATTAGTCGTCTTGACATTCTTCCAAATTTGTTAAAAGTTTTTAGCCAGTGCAGCGGAGGAACAACTGCTAGGCATTTGTGGATGTACATAGAAGTCCTTAATTGGCTAACAGACGTACTTCAGTATTATTCCCAGGAACTAAACATGTCGTGTACTTTGGTGGTATTCTTAGCTTGAGAAACAGATAACATGCAATATTCAGTGAGTCATTGTGCCCGGCACCGCTTTTCCTTCACAGTGGTTTTAAGGAGGATGAATGCTTTTCTTTCCCATCTCTGTGTCTAATTTTGGTACGCCAGCGGGCAGGAGGACTTTCAGGCCACCTTCTCAGATGATGGCATCCAAAACATTGAAACTTCAAAATGACCTGCCAATTTTAGTTCAACTTGGGGGGATTTTCTTAGTGAGTTCTGGTTCAAAGGTATGGCTGGGAGTTACTGCTATGCTGTCGAGCATTGTATCTGTGTATAAAACATCTCCTGTTCTTACTTCTGGATAAATACACAGGGTCACGTTTTAGTGTTAATTTGTGGCACTCCACTAAATGGACACGAGGGAGACTTGGTTATCTTATTGCAAAGCAGAATTTGGCCCCTAGTACATTGGTGACAGTAATAAAAGAACCATAATCTGTTCTTTTTATCCTTTTGTGTTAATGGATTTAATATCCATTTGTCTTGAAATGGATTTAAGCGTAAATTAAAAAATGGAATTAAGGGTAAATTTCTGTCTTGAAAGGAAATAAGATCTTGCAGCTCAAGGTATCTGCTTTTATATTTTCTTACCAAGAGGGTGACTTGTCCAGAATATAATTGTATCTCTCTCTTTTTCTCTCTGACATGCATGTACACACACACAAATAAAAAATGAGGATTTATAAGTAATGTTTTGGTAACTTTGCTAATGCACATCTTGTCCAATCTTATGACCAAGTATGTTTCACATTGTAAGTCATGGCTGAATTTGACTGTACTGTAATTTATAGCAGAAGAAATTCCTCATGCTCTATATAAAGCTATTTAAAATAAGTTTTGCAATCACCACAAGTGGCAATATAAACTAACCTAAAGCTAGTGTAAGGAACTTTAGCCACACATATAATTGCAGAAAAGAAATGAAAGCATTTTAAAATCAGTAACTTATATTTTATATGTTTTGAAAACTCATAGATTTGTTTGAGGCATCCTGCCAAAGACAGCATTTGTTTCCTTGCAGACCTTGTTATAACAGTGCTGCATGCCTGAAGTCATGCAGCAGTGTGTTTAGAAGCATCTTATTCCTGAGGTTTTTTCCTCATATTTTAGCCCATTGTTCTTATGTGCTTAAGCTGGACCTAAAAAACTTTATAGTATGTGGGATTTTCACATGTGGTAGTATATTCACAGAGGAAAAAATTTGAAATTTTGCATCAGTGTAGACATGAAAAATAGCATTCTATGCAAACAATTACTCATTTTAGAAACTGACAATTTAGGTATTTGCCAAGCCAAAGTGTTTTTGAAATTATGTCTGTTGTGTCGTGAAGTGGTCGTGAAACTGCAGCCATGTGTTACCAAGTGATTATTGGACAATTGCTTTAAAAATGTTGAAAAATGAAAAAGTGGAAAAAGATTATTAAGGTGATTTCAGTTATGTCCCATTTGGTACCTGAAAACACATAATACAGTGTGTCTGATTTTAAATTTTTAATTAAAATATGGTTTAAAATTGCTATAAATTCAGTGAGCTTTGTGGAGATAAAAGTTTGCAGTATTGATTGAATTCAGTGTTACCTATTTTCATGCCCAAAATCTCCCATACACAAATGAAGATAAGAAAATGAGGTAATACAATCTCATTTCGAAAATTAATACTGCAAAACTATTTTTCCCAGAAACAAAACGATTGAATTGTAATGAACAAAGTTTTGTATTTACAATAACTTGATCAATCTTTTAAAATAAGCATTACTTTTGACTTCTTATTAAAAGCATTTCCATATTTATTTTTCTGCCGTTTATATTTTTTCAGGATTTCTCTATAACGAAGTTTCTCTTCTATTTTTTTTTAACACAGATATCTATCCATTCCAGAACTAATATTTGCTACAACCAGAGACTGAAATGGTATGACTGGAGCTTTAAATAATTTGGCTTTGACAGCTCCATCATTTTCTGAGAACTTGGGAACAGAATTTGGGCTCTGCTTCTGCACTATCCTAGGTTATAATGCCATCCTTGCCTAATGAGGGAGGTATGCTAGTCTTGGATTTTTAATGTAGCCTGTTAATTATTCAATATGCTTGTACCTCTTAAGTTGCAACAGCGTAAATGTTTGTATTTTTAGTTCATTTGTATACATTATTTGAGATATAAAGTTGTTGATAGTTACAACGTTATTTTTCAAAGATAACCATGGAACCGCTCCTCTGACTTTGAGTTCAGAACTACCCTATCAAAGCATGATTAAAAGAAAAGTCAGAAAGAAGAAGAATGGAGTCATCACTGCAAACGTCGCTGGCACAAAATATGAAATTGGTAGGAAGCTACATATTTCGTTTTCATCCTAATAGCCATTGACGTGAGTGAATTACTAACTAATGGACTAAGTTAATGGACTTTGCATCAAGCTGACAGTGAGACGTTTCCAGAGGATTTTCTTTTGTAAGAAACCTTTGTTCTTTTTTTGTAACATTGAGTTGATAGCTTTGAACACTGTGCATCTATTACTCCCCATTTGTTACTCGGGGAAGGGCCTTGAAATGCAAAAACTTAAGTAATCAAGAAGGCTGTGGAAAAACCCTCTAATTATGAATTACATATGTGTTTAGAAGTTTACTTAAAGCCTTGAAACAGGAACAGCATAAATTTAATGTTAAATACCCTAATTATTATACAGAGTTTCTCAATAAAATCTACTAATGTTTTGTATTTTGATGCTTGGGACTACTACAGAAAAATCTTTTCTCCTAGAACCTGAGTTATGCCTGACACATAATCAGTCTTTTCTCTTTTTTTATGTTAAAATAAAGTAGGCATTTGCTTTTGTAACTACTGTATCTTGACTAAGGAGGCATTCTTGTCCCCTGTCTGCAGTGACACTTATAGTCATCACTGTTTTAAAATTAACGTATGTGATAGCTAAGATTAAGTCTAAAAGCCATGCAAGTGGACTTTTACTAGATGATTGTGGAATGCCCTGAAGCTCTTCACAGTTCCCATCAGTGGTTGTGCTCTGATTCCAGCCTCAGTGCAAGGTGCTATAATGTTGTAATGACAGGTTTGCAATAAACTGATGGAAATATTGCAAGATAAATAATAGCTTGCATGCTAACATTGTTCTCAGACAAAGGGTTGACTATTGGAAGTGTTTAAAATCTTAATTTTTAAAATTTTGAAAATGAATCTATTTTAGAGATTCAAAATGTTCCTTAAGTATGTGATTTCTCCGTAGTACGTGTAGTAATACGAGAAATGGGATTTGTGAAAACACGTGATGAAGATGAAACAGCTAATCTTATATGGAGTGATTCTGCTGTGCAACAAGAGAAGATTGCTGAACTGCGGAACTATCAGGTAGAGTGGTAGTTAGGATTTCTGACATGTTTCAGTAAACTGTTTCACTCTGAAGCATTCAGTAATGTGTCACTTTTGGTCAGTTACATTTGTACGGAGAGGAAAAAAAAAAACCCCACAAAACACCACCAACCAGACTGCAATAAGGCTATACCACTACATATTTTAAAATCCTATTCTCTTCTCCAGAGTTATTTGTTCATACCGCTTGGAATCTGGTGTTTAAATATTTGGGGCTGTTCTTTCATGCTTTTGTCTGCCAGTTGGGTGTTGTGAATGATCAGAGTTTGAAAGAAGATGCAAAACTTCATTTATAAGTTGCTCATAAGCTTTTAAGCAGTAAGTTAACAAGCAGAGCTCTCTCCACAGTTTCTGTGGATAAATAATTCCCTTTTTTACCATTACTTTGTGATAGCATTCTTTGTTCCTAGATAGCTTTGTGAATAAGAGTATGATAGTCTCCTTTCATGTCTGAAATGAAATCACTGGGCATACTCATGTTGGTGGAGGAGAATACAACTTACAGTATCTTTAGTATTGCTAAGAATACATAGTATAATGTAAGATATTATTTTAAATTATTTATATGTAACACTAATTATGTTTACCTGCGCATGCAGTTGAACGTTTTAAATGATTGTATTAGGTATGCCAGGAAAACTAAAAAAGTACCAACTAACTTTCTTTTTTTCTTCTTCCTCAGAGAATCAACCATTTTCCAGGAATGGGAGAGATCTGCAGAAAGGATTTTCTGGCAAGAAACATGACTAAGTAATCTTTCTTTTAATATTAAGAAGTTTTTCAGCCGTAGTATTTAATGCAGTACAATACTGAATTATTGCTTGTAAGGTTTGTTTATTTTTACTGAGAGGCTATGAGAGGACCAAGAATAATTTCTGAAGTTCCTTAATAACTTTGGCTTTGGTCTTGGATCTGTAGCATCCGAGTGGGCTACTGTATCTCTCCAGTTGACTTCAGCGGAAAATGATGTGGGTTCAGTTCTCTGTCTACGCATTGCAGAATGTAGGAGAGCCGTAAATTACTGTATAATACACTTAATACATAATACACCCAGGCATATATCCTGTAATGGTAGAACAGAAAAAATAACTAGTATGTGGATGGATATTGTTTGTTTAAAATAATCAATGACTGTATTTTGTGTATATCAAATTTAAAAAATGTGAAGTATCTTACTCTTTATATAAGCAATAAGTCAGAGAGGCTCATTTGTCTAATTATAAATTCTCCTCACTCTAGTGGAATAACTGGGTTCTGAGGCATTATCCTAGCTAAGAATCTGTGAGTAAGACCTGTAAGAAAACGATACTAATGATTCAACAGCCTGGTAATAAGGAAAAGTTTATGGATAAATGTGTGTGAATATTTTGATTCTTCTAATCTAAATTAGTTTAAAGAGCAATTACTAATAGAGTTAATCTTTTGGCCCCCAACGTTACCTACACTGCATTTCCTGTTACCAGAAGAAAATTTGTTTTCATATATTAATGTTGTTAATGTGATATCTCCTCTCTCTCGCTCTTTCTCTATTTCCTTTTCTGTTTTGTGACTACGACACATAGCATGTAGAATGTATGCAACTATTATGATGCAAATATTACGTGCATTGCTATGGTGTCTACATGTCCTGCGTGTGGGCCAGAACTCCCTTGTGTCAATACCTGCTACGCAAGCACTTTTTACTGCCTCTTCCAGACTTAAACTCTAAGTAAAAATGTAGAGATAGCACAGGGAGGCAAACAGCTATTTGGAGAGGTCCTGGAAACAGTGGAACAACATAGGTCAGTCTGGTAGGCAGTGGTATCCCTGTGTATTGCTACAGTGCTGTGATTTTAAAAAAATGTGCAAAATGGACAAAAGGCTCTTGTTATCATGCACACATTGTTTTCAAATATAGTCTGATTATATGTATATTCAACCTACTGAATTCTGAGTTTGAGACACAGTTTAAAGGTACTCAATGTGGAGTTTGCACATATTATAGATAAGATGGGAATAATTTCTCTGGTATGATAACTCTGGGTCAAACTTTCTCTGGTACGATAACTCTGGGTCAAACATATTTATGTTGTGACTTCACTTAATATCAGTAGATATAGCAGGGTTTTAATCAGTCTGTTTTTTGCATACTCGCCTCACAATTCAATACTTAGTATTCATAATTCATAAAAATCAAAAGGATATGCCTTGAGACTGCTTGTGAAACAGACGTATGTATGTGAAATCACAAGTCAGTTGCGATACATGGTTGGGCAGGCTCTTGTCTGTAGGGTGGAGGATTTTGTTCCACACAACTGCTGTTCTGTCTTAAAATTTATTTGAACAGGATAGTGCAGAAACACTAATTCTGTTCTCTTGCTTTTCTGCTGCATGCAGTCTTTTCTATTCCTGATACTGACTTGTACAGATAGCTGTGGGTTTTTTACTGTTGAGAGTTCATGAAACGATTGCTGAGAATTTGTGGAGAGTAGACTTCTTTTTCTTCTACCTTTGTTGTTATACTGATCTCACCCTTGCATTTTATGCAAGCTGTTGGGAGTGGAGTGAAAGAACAAATTTACCGGACTCTGAGAGGCAAATGCTATTCAGGAGGAATTGCACTTCAGGAATTCCTCTTACAGCCAATATCCAGGCATTCTGGATCATAGGACAACGTGGTTTTCACATGTCGAAGGGTGGAAGGGAGCGGTGTAGTATGTAGCGTGTGTAATATGAAAGAAGACAACCCAGCACAGTAAGCGTAGGGACACAGAGTAATGGAACAGATAGAAG